GTATACTACTGTTGGGGGCATATACTGCTAGTAAACGATAAGGATAGCTTGTGAGCACTCTGCTCAACGTAGAGACTCCCGAGTAGCTGGGTTTCAACGGCGATAGCGATACAATCTTATCTTTTCTTGATTACTCGCACGCAATACTACTTCAGGTTATATACTACGCAACACTGCTATTCTCCCTCAAACGCGCTCCTAGAAGGACCTCTCTCTAGAGCAGGTAGTTGCGGCCTTTTTTGCTTTGTGTTCGAAACTCTATACTAACTTCTCGTTTTGCCTTTTTTCGGCTCTAGAAACTGCCTTTTTCACTCTTCGGAGCTTCCTAAGGCTACCTAGCGATCAAGCCCATTAAGCTCACCAATCAAGCCTCACTAATCGACCTATCAAGCCCATCAAAGCAAGCTCAACACCAAGAAAACGTCAATCAAAGCAAGTATAGGGCCTGAAGCTTGATTGATTTGATTGTTGGCATCTCTGATGGAGACGTTGGATATGGACGGGCTGAAGCCAACTCAGGCTCTTCTGCTCGGGAAGTCCTTACGACAGCTGGCATCAAGGTTGAGACGAGATCTCCAGACACTCCTGCACAGCTCGGGGGTGCTGAAAGAGCCGGAGCCAGTATTGTCACTGTTGCTAGGGTTCTTCGAATCCATGCTGGCTTGCCTAAGACCTTAGCTAATGAGCTAGTCTGCACAGCAGCCAGGTTACTCAACATCACGCCTACGAAATCTATCGACTGGCGTACACCACACGAGATGGTCACTGGCGTCCGCCCAGACCTCTCTCGACTCCACGCTATTGGAAGCCGTGGATTTGTGCTCAACAAGCACTTACCCAGAGGAGACAAGCTCGAAGACCGCACCTTTGAGGGATTTCTCCTTGGATACGACGCCTCGAACATCTATCGGGTGTGGCTACCTGCCACAAATCGCGTTATCCGCGTACGCGACGTACGCTTCATAGACGAGCTTTACAAGGACAAGCCGTCAACTCTACCTGCAAGGCCTCACGTGATTGAGACTACTCACATCCCTGAAGAGGAATACGATGGTGATACTATCGTAGTCGCTCAGCCAATAACGCAGAGACAAGCTACAGTCACCTCTTCCCCTTTACAGAAGCAGATACACCAACTGCCTTCTCCTACGATCACTGCTCGGGGTACTCCTGACCCTCGCGATACTCCAGATCCTTGGGAAACACCTCATCCTCCTAATTCTCCAGACCTAGTGGAGCAACAGCTGTTCCAGGAGTCCTCTGCTTCTAGGGCTTCTCAGCACACGACACCTGGGGGGTGGAACTTTGATGAGACTCATGACCACGACAGAGACACGATCAGAGTAGCTGTACCAACGCGTGAACTTGACACGCATCAGCCATATGTCCCAGATCGATATCAGAACAATGCTCCGAACGACGAGATCCAGATCTCTCACAGGACAATATTGTCACTGGCAAAAGACGCCGCCAGGCGCACTTCATTGAGGCTAGTCCTTCGACTAAGTACTATGCCTTTGCTGCTGCAATTCAGCAATCTTATGAGGCTACTTCTCTTGCCTCAGGACCTAGGATCAAGCGTGATCCTACTCGCGTCCATCACGATGATCTTCCTCCTCCACCACGTCACTGGAAGGAGCTGAAGCAGCACCCACACGGGAAGCAGTTTGAGGCTGCTGCACATACTGAGTTCAACAACTGCTGGAACAAAGGCACCTTTGCAAGGCCAGATATTACAGTCTCATACATTGATGATGCTGTGCCCTTGATGTGGGTATTTACCTACAAGTTTGATGAGGATGGATATCTTCTTAAATACAAAGCCCGCCTTGTTGTACGCGGAGATCTGCAGGAGCAGTACGGCGACACCTACGCAGCCACCCTTGCTGCACGCCTCTTTCGAGCTCTCATGGCCCTTGCCTGCGCCTTCAACCTTAAGGCTATGCAATACGACGTGCCAAACGCCTTCCTCAACGCTATCCTAGATCGCACTCTCTATGTGAGAACCCCAGATGGTTTTCAAGACAAGTACGGCCGAACTCTGCGACTTCTGCGCGCTCTCTATGGCCTAAAGGAAGCTCCGCGCTTATGGGCTATACACTTCCAAGAATCACTTCAGAAACTTGGCCTACAACCAGTCCAAGGCTTTCCATGCCTTTGGATGAATACTAGGGTTATTCTCTTCTTCTACGTAGACGATATTATTATCCTCTATCACCCTAACTACCAAAAGGATTTTAATAAGCTTGAACAACAGCTTATTAAGCTCTACAACCTTCGTCAGATTGGTGAAGTGAAATGGTTCCTTGGTATCCGAGTTGAGCGCGTTCTTGCTAGCCGACAGCTCTACCTAGTCCAAGATGCGTTTATTGACAAGGTCTGCACTGAGTTTGACCTTATCCGCGCTGATGAAAGATACCCCTCCACGCCTCTCTCCTCTACTTCGAGCCTTGCGCTCTATGATGGCATCTCTGAGCCATCAAACACTAAGACCTACCAACGTCTTGTAGGCAACCTAGCTTACATCGAAGTCATGACGCGACCTGACGTCGCACACGCCCACTCGGTCCTTGCAAGGTTTCTCACAAACCCTGGACCAATCCACCTCTCCGAGATTAAGCACGTGTGGCAATACCTGTACGGTACTCGATACCTTGCCATCAGTGCTCGAGGGGGTGAGCCAACACAGACTTATGCCACCAAGATCGATGCAACTACTCCTATCTTCTTTGGTGCTGCTGATGCATCGTTTGGAGATGATGTTGAGACTCGTCGATCGTCTGCTGGATACGTCTTCATGCTTTACGGCATGCCTATTGACTGGAAAGCCACTGTGCTTCGGTCAGTCACTCGTTCTACTACTGAAGCAGAGCTGTATGCTCTCTCAGCTGCTGGTGTTGAATCGCAATATTGGGATCGCTTCTGCCGCAACATCGGCTTTACTCTTTATACTAAGAAGGCTCTTTGGTGTGACAATGCGCAGACCGTACGCCTTGTCGAAGGTGACGCTGATCGCATCCAAACGAAGCTTCGCCATGTTGATATCCATCAAATGTGGCTTCGCCAGGAGGTAGACTCTGGAAGAATCACTGTCGAATGGAAGCCTACTGCTGACATGCCTGCTGACGGCTTCACAAAGCTGCTTCCTCGACAGAAACACGAGAACTTCATACGCCAGCTTGGCTTGAAGGACATTCGTCACCTCATTGTCAAGGACATTCCTTGTCCTGTACCTCCTGTTTAGTCAGACTAGGTGCGCAGCACGCACGCACTTCGCTCTCTTAACCTGTTTTTTCTCATATAGTTATGTGAGGTTTCCATCCAACATGGATACCTCAGGGGGTGTGTCAGCCTGGCACCTCAGTTCACCTGGTACACTGTGAACTGTATCTCACGTGACTCTTCGTCACCTGCTTACTCATCTCGGTTGTGTATATAATCGCTCTATGTAGCTCTCTCAATACAACAACCTTCTTCCTCTCTTCTGCCCTGTCCTACATCCGACACGTACTTTAACATCGACTGATAATTAACTAACGACACTAAGTCTTCTCAAACTATCGGTCTCTCTACATCTAGTTCTTCGGGAAAGACGGGTTCTCTATATTCTCTTGGAGCGGGGTGTCTGGGGCTAGCTTGCATAAGACGGCACCTACCCAAGAGGATGTGCCCGATTCAAGTAGAATTAGACGTTTTTGCTAGCGAGCGATAAGAAGCGATAAGAAACGAAGATTAGAATTAGAGAAGTAGGATTAGGCTTCTTAGAGTTAGCCGTCTAATGTGCTATAAGATATCACAAGAGCAAAGAAGCACGTTCATATATTCTTGTGCGCAACATTACACAAGAAATACCCACACGATGGAATACTAGCAGACTGTCAGAATAGCCTGCATGACATAGGTAAGTTTGTTTAGGTGGACCAACGCTGCATTCCGTTGCTAACAATGATTAATTAGGTTATTGATTCTCATGACGCCGTAGTGCACGATTGACGCCCATTGTTTTTTTGGAAACGTACTAGACTTTCCGCTGTTTTGTGAGTGTGCGCCTGTATCTGAGGCGGCGAACAATAGTTACACTGATACAGCATGTGAGAACTACTATTGTATCTTCCTAACAGACACGCTGCTAACGGCCTTTTGGGCCTTTAATTGGCACCTAAAAGTCTAAACGACGCTTTGGAAACCCTCTACAGCACTGATAAAATTTCCGTCTGCCTGCCTGGACTCATCAGATTTCTCATCATCTTGGCGATTGGTCGAGAAGCGTGGTTCTTCACCCAAACATACGGGAATAAACAACGGCCGCGCGCACAGGTCATTAGGGGAACTTTTCACGAGAGAGCAGACTTCATTACGAGGTGCTTCCAAATCCTCATCGACACGCTCTGCTATGAAATCACATAGTTGAACCACAGAAATATAATCTCGCAGTACTATCTGTGAGGGACGTCAATAGTTGAGATGACCGTATCTGTATTAAGTACTAAGTGAGATATTGCGTGCAGGTTCGAAGACCTGCGCGGGTCGAACTTTGGTGTTCGGCTGTGGCCTTCGCTTAAGGCGCACGGGCCACCTCGCTTACTAGAGGTCGCGGGTTTGATCCATGACACTACCCCCCCAAAAAAGAGAGCAAGTTCCAACGCTCGAACTGCCTTTTTTTTTTTTTTTTTTTTTTTTTTTTTTTGCCTAAAATTGTATACAAAGGAGATACCTATATCGCAAAACTGCTGCATACCAAGCGTGTCGCTTGCAGTGTCCATTCCATTACTACATTCTATTCCCGTTATCTGTGCACAGTAATTATGGATCATCATCGTGGCGTGGTGACCTTAGCATCTTGTCTTAACAATAGTAACTTTGACAGTCTAGTCCTTGCCACGAGCACAGCGTCTATAAGTCCTATTTCTAGCACAACTTATCGACGCCCTCGATTATAGCAAGCACAACTATATTATCCCAGTCTTATTGTTGGTCTTGTCTGCTGTTGTCACCACTGGCTAGACACGACTAAGAGCGTGAAGTCGCATAACCAGCATATCTTGTTTGCCTGTGAGAGACTTAAACTTCCTGTGCATAGGCGGCTTGTTTGGGTGATCAAGGTGATAGCGCGTCACAGTGTCAGCGGAGTCCGCGAGGTTCATGTATGGTTCCCATGAAGGATTGTCGGGGCCGTCGGGATAGTTTGCCCATCGTACCAAGTATTGGAGCAGGCCTTGGGTAGTCTTGCCCTTGCGACCGCGGGCGGCAGGATCCTTAAGCTTCTTATTAATGCGGCAGTCTTCGATTGCTTCGACAGTGTATTCAGTGTCGTCTTCTGTAACGGGCTGAGCCTCGAGTCACATGACTAGGCTGCTAGCCTAGTCGCTTCCCCGGCAACGTGAGGGCCGTGCGCCAACCCAAACAAAGCAGGCTCGCCGCTTGCGTCTTACCTTCTTTCTTCATCTTGACTGTAAATAGCATCTGGACTAGGTAGCTGGAATACAGTCCCTACAGACCGTTCACATACAGTCAAGATCAAGAAGAACACGCAGAATACGCAGAACACGCAGAACACGCAGAACACGCAGAATACGCAGAATACGCAGAATACGCAGAACACGCAGAACACGCAGCAACCAAAGCACCGCTATAATGAGCTCCCCCGGGGATACTGACATGACGACGAACGATTCGAACCAGCTGTTACAGTCGCTACTACAGAGACTTGAAGACATGAGCACTAGGATGGAGAGGCTGGAAGCACCATCGCACGAGCTACCTCAAACGCCTGGTCACAATACAGACGCCACCACTGATCCAACGCCAACCTCCGAGACTTCGAACACATCTGTGCCTATAACCCCAAAGCCGCGGCACAGCTTACCCCACCCGCCTACGTTTGGTGGAAACAAATCACAATGGCGAGGATGGAAGCTAGAGATGGAGGGCAAGATCGAAGAAGACGCGCAAGCTATTGGAAGCCTAAAAGCTCAGCTACGCTACGTCTACATGCGTCTTGATGGGGCAGCGAAAACCAACGTTACAACATACTACGAGATACAAGTTAAAGAAGAATCGCCAAACCCTTTCAAGCTGCTTGACCGCCTTGAACTCCTCTACGGCGAACGAAATCGGAAGGAGAAAGCCATTCAGAACCTCTACTCTATACGCCAGAAGGACGACGAGACGTTTATTTCCTTCTATCCACGGTTTGAGAAAGAGATGGCCAACGCTGACGCAGAAAGCTGGCCTGAGCATACGAAGATATCCTACTTACGCAACGCATTAAGTGGTAGGATAAAGGATAGGCTTGTTGGTACATCAGGAGCAGAAACAAGCACATACGCAAGGTTCGCTCAGAAGTGTGTAGATCTTAGCAACGACATGGAGTTGTTCGGCCAATGGACGAAAACAACCCGCCGTTACGGTAGCCGAACTGCTGAAAATGCACTAACCTATGAACCACCAGCAAAATCAAATAATGCCACGCTCACAGCAGTTTCCCCTGAAGACATGATGGAATGGGAACCTACGCAGCCTACAACTACCCAAGTGAACGCTGTCGGCCTCCGCGGCAAGACCAACATGAATGGATATCCATCTAGGCGTCCCGAAGACCGAGAACTTATTGGAAAACGAGCAAAATGGGTCAACCAAGAGGAAATCGATGCTCGACGCCAGGAACGACGCTGCCTCCGATGCGGCCGCAACAATTGCCGAATAGCTACATGCCCGTTAGCAGCCGCTCTACGACCAACTCACGTTAGCGTCAAGACAGCAAAGAGTACTGTGGTCACCAAGGCAGCTGTAGAGGAGGAAGATCCAGAAGACTCCGAAGCAGAGCAATAGGAACACGCGGCAGCTCAGAAAGAATGGAAAGAGACCGGAAAGCAAAAGATGGATAGCGATCCCTTTGTACTGGACGTTAGACTTAATGGAACTGACTTTGTCACTGGACTTGTTGACTCAGGTTGCCTTTGCTATTCTGCCATTAATGAACAACTCTTTCGATCTCTGAGACTGCCATCAATCAAGATAGCCCCGCGTCAGCTAGAGGAAGCAGCTGGGAAGAACGCAGAACCAAGTACTGTCCTAGATACAGTTACTTACGCCTCGATAGACATAGACGGCCACCAGCAGAAACGCGTCTTCTTCTACGTTGTACCTGGCCTAACTTACGACGTGATCCTAGGAAAGCCCTGGTTAGAAGATGCCGACGTCACAATTTCGGCCAAACAAGGCTGCCTAGATATCGGCGCGTCAAACATCCGCGCATGGAACCACAAGAAAGCGTCATACAAGCCACCACTAATGAAGGCTACTCAGGTGATGGCTTCCGCATTCATGGCGGAGGTGAGAAGAAGCCGTAGGAAGAACAAAGGAGACGGTATTGCGCTCGACACTGGACTGTTCGCTGTTTCCATCGCCGACATTGAGAAAGCTTTGAAACCGCGCAAACGATCCGATCCAAAGACGAAGCTCCCACCCCAGTACCACCAATGGCTGAAGGCTTTCGACCATTTCCTAGCTGAGAAACTTCCCCCACATCGTAAAGGCGTTGATCTCCACATTGAGATTGAAAAGGATCAAGACGGAAACGAGAAGACCATTCCATGGGGTCCGCTCTACGGCATGAGCCGAGAAGAGTTACTAGTGCTTAGGAAAACTCTCACCGAGCTGTTAGACAAGGATTTTATCCGCGCAAGTAACTCTCCCGCAGCTGCACCCGTCCTGATGGTCAAAAAGCCAGGAGGGGGCATCCGATTTTGCGTTGACTACCGAGGCTTGAACAACATCACCAGGAAGGACCGTTACCCTCTGCCTCTATTCACAGAAACACTGAGAAATGTAGCTAAAGCTAAATGGTTCACAAAACTTGACGTTATCGCAGCCTTCCACAAGATCCGTGTGGCCAAAGGAGAAGAATGGAAGACAGCTTTCCGAACAAGATACGGCCTATTCGAATGGCGGGTTGCTCCCTTCGGACTAACAGGAGCACCAGCCGCATTTCAACGCTACGTAAATGGTGTTCTACAGGATTACCTTGACGACTTTGTTTCAGCCTACGTTGACGACATCTTAATCTACTCGTCAGGATCGCTTCAGGATCACAGAGAGAAGGTTGGAAAGGTTCTTCAACGCCTTATAGACGCTGGACTGCAGATTGATATCGACAAGTGCGAGTTCGAGACTAAACGAGTCAAATACCTCGGGTACATTGTGGAAGCAGAAGTGGGCATTCGAGTTGATCCTGAAAAGATTATCGCAATCCGCGAATGGGCTACACCAACGTCAGTTAAGGCTATCCGAGCATTTATTGGTTTTGCCAACTTTTACCGAGTTTTTATACCAAACTTCTCGGACATTGCTGAACCGCTTATCAACCTAACTAAGAAAGAGATGGTTTTTCATTGGGACGAGGCTTGCAATCAAGCATTTGAAACGATTAAGGAACTTCTCATTACAGCACCAATACTCGGCCATTTTGATCCAGAGAAGGACACCTTGGTAGAAGCCGACTCCTCAGGACATGCAACTGGCGGCCTATTGCTGCAGAAGGACAAGAACAACAACTGGCAACCCGTTGCCTACTACTCAAAGAAGCACTCACCAACAGAGGCCAATTATCCAATTCATGACAAGGAGCTTCTAGCTATTGTTCGTTGCTTAGAAGCATGGGCTCCTGAACTACGTATGGTTAGGAAGTTCACAGTTCTGACGGACCACAAGAACCTTCAATACTTCTACCGCGAACGACAGCTGTCTGAAAGACAAGTACGTTGGTCAGAGTTTCTCTCACGATTCGACTTCTCCCTGGAATGGAAACCTGGAAAGACTATGGGAAAACCTGACGCCCTGTCACGCACAGTCCGCAACAATCAATTAAGTGGGTCCTAGAAGGTTCAGATTGGATTGATTGATTACCGCTTTAAGCCTAGTAGTTACCTATAGGAGTTTAAGCCCTACCTAGATAGGTAAGTGGGTCTAGGAGAGTGACCGGATTGAATTGATTGTTGCGGAGTCTACTGTCACGACGAGAACAAGACCTACCCGCCAACTACGACGATGAACGAATACGGTCTCGATTTATCCGTCTTTTCCAGAGCAAGCACTTGCAGAGTGTTCAAATCCAGTCCCTGTCGTCCGAGGAGATTGACTTCACAGAAGAGATACGCATGTTTGAGGACCAGGACATGCAAAATCTCTGGCACCGAAGCCGCCAAGAGGATGAGCTTTATCAGGAGCTCACTACGCTGGTAGCAAACAAGGAGCGGAACCTCCCTACCAAACTTTAGAAGGAGAAGTCAGTGAGTATAGCAGAATGCACCCTGGACGAGAGAGGCCTGTTGCGATTTCGAGACCGGATATGGATCCCTGACTGCGAACCACTTCGCACACGAATTATTCAAAATATTCACGACTCGCATATCACCGGCCATCCTGGACGAGATCTTACCTACTCAATCTTATCAAGGCAGTTCTTCTGGTCAGGTGTAGCAAGCGACGTGCGACGCTTTGTCCGTAACTGCGAGATTTGCGGGAGGAATACGATATGGAGAGAGACAAAGAAGGGCCTCCTTAAACCGCTACCGATCCCAGAACGTATATGGGGAGAACTTTCAATCGATTTTATTACGGACTTGCCGCCATCTGGACGCGATGACGCAACGAACTGCATGGTGGTCACTGATCGGCTGACAAAGGGAGTTGAACTGGAAGGCATGCACGATATCTCGGCAGAAGCAGTAGCACAACGGCTTTTAGAACGGCATTACCCTATTCATGGTATTCCAACGGCAATTACGAGCGATAGAGGACCACAATTCGTCAGCGATCTTTGGAGGCATTTCTGTAAACTCCTCAGCGTTGAGCAACGCCTGTCGACTGCCTATCATCCGCAAACCGATGGTGCAACAGAGCGAATGAACCAAGAGATTGAGAAGATGATTCGAATCTGGGCCACCTACACGCAAGAAAATTGGCTAGCACTTTTACCTATCGTTATGGGAGCAATCAACAATCGCGAGGCCTCATCTACTGGCCTAAGCCCCTTCTATTTTATGCACGGATATCACAATGAACCCATTCAGCTGGTAGAGGATCGAACTATTCAGGACCGACCAAAGAGAGACGGCGAAGCACTGGCAGAAGGCTTCCTTAAAAGACTCCAAGACGCAACAGAGTGGGCCCAAGCTGCGATCGCGATAACACAAGAGAAACAGCAACATCAAGCTAACAAGACAAGAACAGCAGCGCCCCAATACAAGGAGGGAGACTGGGTGTTTTTGAACCTTAGAAACGTGAAGACAACACGACCTTCCAAGAAGCTAGACTGGTTGCATGGAAAGTACAAAGTCTTGAGGCAGGTCAACTCCCACTCTTATCAACTTGACGTTCCGGGGAAGATCCATCCTGTCTTCCACGTAGACCTGCTTCGCTACGCGCCTAACGACTCTCTCCCA